TTGTCAGAAATTTACATAGTTGTTCTTGCTACTTCACGTTTTCCGTGTTAACTAAATTTCTAAAATATTTTTAAATGCCCTATTAGTTTATTTTGGGCATTTATTTGTTTACTATTTTTGTTGCATTTCATTTTCCCCAATGTTTTATGAATTATTTCAGTTTTCTTTTTAATGTTGCAATTTTGTGTAGACTTTTTATGCATATTTTTAAGTAGGCTTATTGTAGGTATACGATGTCTATGTGTGTAGATGACTACTGGTGGCTCCTTATTTAATAGATTATTACATCATGATCCCTATTCCCTCAGCACACGGGAGTTCTTTCTAAGCTTTCTTTGATTGTTTTTTGTTTTTCATACTAGGTATGAACTGCCTGGAATCCATGCTTTGAATTTTATTTTAGAAAATTCACTTGGAGGTGGAGGTATTGCTTCACTAAGGTGTGACCCTCAGGTATGTATTTGTATGGATGTAGGTATGTACAAGCAAATAACACAGAAAACTTGTTTACATTTTAAATGCTGAGAACAGACCAATTGATAATTAATTAAATACATTAAAACAGCATATAGGACAAGAAAACAATATTATCAATGTTAAACAAAAACTCATGGAAATGTAATATTTTAATTTTTATCTTCAAGTACCAGTAATATTTCTTTACTGTATCTTTATGATAATAAAGTTTTAGTTTTTTAGAATAGTTTGTTGTACCTTTATTAGCTCCCGTAAAATGGAGCTTGTGTGGTACCTGTGACTCTGTGACTCTGTAAAATTTGGCACACAGGTAATATATGATGAGTAGATGCGCTGATTAGATTTTGGTGCAATTCTATGCATATTAATTAGTCAATTATTGCATTAATTAGTCCCTGTTTAGACGGAGTATCTGTATCTTAGAAATGCCTGGACCAATCACAATCAAGCTTCACACATACATCATACATGATATTATACATATGCACGTCAATTTGTTTCACGATCTGATTCAAGATGTCCGAATGGCAGCCATTTTTGTGCTAAAAATCATCAAAATCAAGCATTTCTCAGCTGTTTAGAGATGGATTGTGTTCAAACTTGGTATATACATTAGACATTATAAGACCTTGATGCACATCATTTTGTTTTACAATCTGATTCAAGATAGCCGAATGGCGGCCATTTTTGTGTTAAAAAATCCTAAAAATCAAGCATTTCTTGGCTATTTGCAGATGGATTTTGTTCAAACTTGGTATATACATTAGACATTATGGGACCTTGATGCAAATAATTTTGTTTTTCAGATAAGATTTAAAATGGACGACTGGCGGCCATTTTGTTTTAATGAATGTGGTTCTCGTGCCATATCTCTGACTTGCTTTCACTTATTATGTTCAAATTTTAAATATTCATTATACATCATGTCATAGATAGACAGATATATTGTTTTGATGATCCTATTCAAAATGGCCAAATGGTGGCCATTTTTGTGCTAAAAATTCATCAAATATCAAGCATTTCTGGCATTTATGAATGGATTTCGTTCAAACTTGGTACATACATTAGACATTACGCGTTCCTGATGCACGTCATTTTATTTTTCAGATTGGATTCAAAATGGCTGACTTGCGGCCATTTTGTTTTAATGATTGGGCTTCTGGAGCCATATCTCTGAAAAGCTTTGACTGATTATATTCAAATTTTATATATTCGTTATACAAAACGTTATATATATACATGTATTCAAAATGGCTGATTTTGAATGCTGTTCCAGAGCAATATCTTTCAATATGGACAAGTACTTGTTTGACGATCAGATACAAATGTCAATTTTAATGTTAAAAAATCATATTCCTGAAATGGTTATATTCCAGCCATATTACTATAAACAAAACTATTTATCTTAAATTTGGTAACTAAATTTGACTGTGCCATGCATGGCTTGTTAATTTATAACTTAGAGTCTTCAAAGTTTCCTAACAAATATTTGACTAGGGTGAGTAGTCTAATTTGCATATTGCAATAACGTATTCTGTCGCAAAAAAAAACTGGTAATATTTAATTGGAAGGTCTGTAAATTTACGAATTTTAGTATATAATGATTTATTATATCATGATGGATGTTATTTGAGCAGATACACATGACTAAACACATCAAATGTATGTTAGTATGGGGAGTACGCATGCGCAGTTACAAGAGTGACGCGGGCATTTTTTCAGTTTGACGAAAAGGCAGTACCCTTTCCGATTTTCATAAACGCAAGTTCAATTTCACTTTGTGCGTCATATTCACCAATAGACAAAATCGAAGACAGATGCCGTACAACTTTCTGCCAATCCTGATTTGTAAATGTGTTGGTTACATGTACAGTGTTCTCCTCGGGCCTGCGTCGCTTAGACAATACCGGGGAACTTTCGTTTTGCCCGCGATTCTGCAGACACACACACACAAAACGACAAAAGTGATTATAAGGGCAATCCTAGCGGAGCAGATCGCCAATAATTAATATTTCATTTTTGTTAGTGTATCTTTAATTTTATTTATTAAAATATGTACACATTATATCTAATTGGGGTGGAAATTGCCAAGCTAATTTATAAAATTATAAACAAATATTTTCGTAAATAATACTGACCGTGAAATACGCCCTTGAGAATATTTTATATTGCAATTTCTTTCAATTTAATTAGTTGTATTGCAATGCATTAGTAATAATGTAAATATATATATATATACATTTCTTTATTTCATTGATAAGACTGACTTATATATTTGTTACGTACTATAATTTATCTATATTGGAGAACAGTTATGAGGATTATTAATTTTAATAAACAATATTCAACTATTCTTTGCAACACCAATAAGATCATAATGATAATGTTTCTTGGTTTTTGAAACTATGGGCATTATCAGAGCATGGATCCTATTTTGGAACTCCTGCCAGAGCAACATCACAAATCATAAGGGCAAATTAATAGCTTCTAAGGATGGTATTCCCAGAATAGCGCAAATTGTTAAAGAAACATAAAACTTTAATTCTCAACAATGATGAAAGAACCAGTTACTGCGACAAAGCCTGACTCCCCGCGAGACCCAACCAATACGAAACCCACTTACCACGAAAGCCACTTACCGCGAAGCTACTTGTCTTTATGAAAATTTTAATATGACATTTGAAATTCACAAATCTTAGAGGGCCCAAATTTAATCCTATTAAATTGTTGTTGTTATGCATCTGTTCACTGTATCCATTGATAGTTGCTACATTCACGTCATGAGATCTCGGCACGTGCTGATTGTGTTTGCAGACGGATTACGGTTTGCATTCATTTCATTCATTACTGCAGCATTCGACAATATATACCTTCACTTCCCTCCATCGTCATGTCATACTAGTATGAATCGGTATATGTTTTCTTAAATTCACCACAAAAGGCGTGATTTTGGTCATGCTGAGCATTCAGGCAGCAAATTTCAGCACGTGCAAAATTTCGGTCTCAAGCATCTATTAAGACCAAGATTGTGTTTTTTTCCGCATGTGCTGACTCTTCTGGCACATTCCATCTTGGTCCCCAGTCTCGGCACGTGCCAAGATCTCTAACGTGAATGCCACTATTAGCTTTGTGTATAAAGTTATTATTACATATAAAGTTAAAGAAGTAATATTTATATATTTATAATAAAATAATATACTTTTATTTAAAACAGGGTAAAGCATATGGACAGATGTTACTGGATATGAAAATAGAAAATGTTCCAAATTTGGTTGAAATGGCTGAAATAATTTCAGATCAGTAATTATTATGCAAGAATATTGAAGTGAAAAACCATGGGACACAAAAATGAATAAATTCACTACGTTCAACCCACCATAGACTCTGGTCAGTCAAAATGACTATTTTGAACTGTAGGCATTAATCAGCGATTCTGCCATTGACGGAGTGATAGAATCTAGGTCAGGGGAAGCCCCATGACCCCAAGATTCTCTTCCCTTACGTCACGAACCACGTGACCGAGGCCATATTGGCAGCGCCATTAACGGCTGGACAATCACTCGAATGGAGATGAAATCTAGCGAGCTCTGCCTGGATCGCTTGCTTTTTTCTTGTCCGGGTTTCTAGCTTGGGTTGTTGCTGCTAGGCGGCTCGAGACATTGTAGCTGGTAGGATAAGTTTTTCTTGTCATTTTTACCCTTGTGTCGTTTTCCCCTTTGTGTGTGTAGCATTTTTCACAACAAAAAAATAAAACCTGGGCATCGTAGCTTAATCACTTGTTGATTGCGTTACGCCACCTTTTACTACTGTAATTTGCTTCCCTCATGCATGTCGTCTTCATTTTATGCTTGATCTACGTATTTAGAAATGAATAGATGTAATGACAGCTCCATGACTCGCTGCTGTTTTTTGGTCTCCTCGTTTTCTAGTCGACTGTGCAGTGGTTATATTCACAATTTACCAGCATAGAACCTGCATCTGATATGCTTTTTCGCCGTGGCTGCGTGCGAGGTTCAGGGTCTTTGCCTTGAAGGCGCGCGTCAAAATCGCTGAGACTGACCGCGTCGCTCGTTTTTCCACAGCAAGGTCGCGCGTCTAGTACAAATTGTGAGTTGCATGTTTGGCTCAAGGCTACCGGTGCTTCGCGTACCGGGACGTTGAGTAGGAGGCCCGACAGTAGACGTACCGATATTTTTTCGGCTTCCCCCTGCTGATCGGAGGGCATCCTCACAGTCTGTGTTTTTAGGCGGTGGTTTACCTGATTTTACCGGCTACAGCGAGGCTGTGCCCCTGGAGGTTTTTTTCTCCTATGGGCCCATTGTGGGTCCATTTGTGGATCCTTCCTCCCACGGCGCCAGGTTTGCCTCTGAGTTGAGGGCTTTGGTCGAAGGACTGTCGGGGCGTTCCCAGCCGCGACTCTCCCACTAATTTGGATGAGGCCGAGGCTCAGGCTAATTGCACCGGGCCTCCTCTGGAGCCTCGGGCACTGAATGCCAACTGGGTGCTGGCAGCCAAGCCTCCGATCTAAGGGCAGGGCTTTCAGGGCAGGGCACACGTTGACCCCCCCTACTTTTCAGCCAGCCAGGGTTCGTCGCGTGGTAATGGTACAATGGTAACGAATTTACCCTTGTGTCTGGTCTCCACTGTGGGTTTTGACTCACGGGCGTCCCCAGAGGGAACCAACCCTGTCATGAGACGCACAGTCGAACATGCTCTCTCTCACATATTTAAAGTGAAAAGGAGACACAGTTCGCTCGCGTCGGATACAGCCGGTACCTCGGGCAGTCCCTCAGTCTTCCATCCATAACGACTCGGTGAGCCACACTTTTGGGGTGATACAGAATTTTCATCTCTCCCTGCCCGTCTGAGTGCGGAGTGGGACACAGGGCGCGCAAACGGTGTTGATGGGTGGACGTTGGTCAGCCACGGAGGAGGTAATGCTTAAGGCCCCCTTCTAGACCAGGCAACACATTTACTGGTGGGCCACTGCACATCTACGTGCGACATCCCCTATTGTCACCTTGGTCTTGGCCGGGGCCACTACTGCGCAACGATACGCGACCATAGACACATGCATTTTTGCCGGCAAGCTGAGTCAGGGGGTACATCCCCACCTCAGTGACGCAGACCCTCTTTGTTCGGGGAATGGTGGGTACAGTCTCAGAGCTTCGAGTGGCCAGGTCACAACTTAGTGACTACCTCAGGCCTTGGGGAACTCACCTCATGGGAGAAGAGAGCACCCCCCTCTCGCAACTGCCGAACCCATGGCCACATATCCCTGTCGTACACAGATTGCGTCAGTGTAGTCCAGTTTGGAGACAGCGGGTGACCGATCCCTGGACCTTTCCAGGTGGTGGCATCCTGTTACGGGATACCGCTGAAATCTCCATCCCCTCCATTGGTGTCTCCCCTATTGGGCACTACCAGGGGACTCCCGCAAGGCGGAAGCAATCAAGCAGGAAGTAGCAGTTTGCTGGTAAAAGGCGCCATACACAGAGTAGATCAGCCGGAACTAAGTCCAGGCTTCTACACAAATGTGTTTGTAGTATCGAATCTACAAGTCGCGGGCGTCCAGTTTTGGACCTAGGCAGACTGAATCAGTACGTGCTCCTCAATCAGTTCCACATGGAGACGCCATTCAGGGTTCTTCTCTCCATCCACCGTTTCGAATGGATAGCCCCACTAGACTTAAGCGGGGCCTACATGCACGTACATTTCTCCTTCTAATCGCCCAGCTTGGCCAAATATTCGAATTTCGGGTGCCCCCCGTTTGGGTTATGCACAGCAACTGTTCACCAGAGTGATGAAACAGGTAGTGCTGCTGCTTCACCAAATGTCTGGTACACCTCAATCCTTACCTAGACGACTGGTTACTACACAACCCGGACAAGGGGTTAATAGCCAAACACGTCAGGCTAACACAGGATTTACTTCACCAGTTGGGCTCGTTAGTAAATTGACAAGTCCCATCTCGACCCAACACGCAGTTTGTGCCCCTGGGCATTGAGTTTTGACACAGAGGTAAGCTTGGTATAGCTATTTCAAGCGTGTTGCTTAGCGCTAAGCTGCCTAGCTGAACGCCTAGTCAGCATTCCCTCAGTGTCCCTCCGAGAACTAATGCGGATCATTGGAATAATGACCTCGGTTCGAAAGGTCGTTCCCCAGGCCGCACTACGCAGCCGCCCAGTATAACGCTTCTTATAATGCCGAGCTCTCCTATGGGAACTAGATAGGCGGGCTTTGATCTCCGACCAAGTGAAGGAAGCCCTGCCCTGATGGTCATCACTGGCCAACTTCGGACATAGGGCCCCCTTGGACCCACTCGCTGCAGGTATGACTGGTAACAGATGCCTCCTCCCACGGTTGGGGAGCATGAATTTCGGGACTGCCATATCAACCGGCTTGAACTGAAAGCAGTGTACTTAGCACTATTACGCTTTCTACCCCGAGTTTGAGACCACAGAGCCCTGCTCCGCACAGGCAACACAGCGGTGGTCTCCTTCAAGAAGGAAGGGGGACACATTCCCCATCATTGTCAGTCCTCGCGGAGCAAATCCTCCTTTGGTGCCTGGAATACAATGTGTAGCTAACCGCACACCAGCTTCCAGGGTTGAGGAACAGTCTGGCAGATGCCCTTTAAGGGCAGCTCCGTCTCCAGAACACTGAGTGGCTGATACCAAAGTGGGTAGCCTCCAGGCTGTTTCGGTTGTGAGACGGTCCAAGGTTAGACCGGTTTGCCATACGTACGTTGGGAGCTTGGCGTTCTGGGGTAACACTCCTGCCAACTCCAGGAGCCTGGGCCAGGGTCACTTTGCTAATCCTGTTGACCCACTTAGGTGTGTGAGCCTTTCCTCCTTTCCCGCTAGTTTACCGGGCATCAGAGAAAACTTTGACAGGTGCACACCTGCATATTATCATTGGTCGCACCCAATTGGCCAAGCAAGGCCTAGTTCCCAATTCTATCTATCGGAAATGCTAGTCGAAACACCAGTAGTGCTTTCGGACTTACCGGACCTGCCATCCCAACCAGACGGCGCACTACCAATGAGCCCAGCGCGTATCACTTACATGCATAGAGGCTCTCAGTATGAAAATATATACATATGAAAGCTTTATCTGAGCGGGCTGCCAATGTCCTGGCCAGAGTGAACAGGGATTCCACCAACGCGGCCTACATTTCTAGGCTGCGAGCATACACTGATTGGTGTAGGGGAAAAGAGATTGATCCATACCATCCCTCTATTGGCCAGGTAGCAGGCTCCTTCGTCCACCTGTTTGACGAAGTGGGTTGTCCTAAGCAGCGATCGTTGGCTACAGGTCGGCCTTGTTCCCCACCATTGAGAACGTACGTGAACAAGACTAGCCGATTGTCCTATTATTAGGAGACTATTTACTGCTTTCCAGACGCCACAACCCCATACAAGGGAACTGCTCAACTGGGACTTGTCGGCTGTGTTGTTCGCTCTAAGCAGACCGCCCATTGAGCCTCTCCGATCAGCACCACTCAAATTTTTGACGTGGAAAATAGTCTTCTCACAGGCCCTCGCCTCAGGTAGGCGTCAGCCAGAGCTGGGGCATTGTTCTTCTCGGATGATGTACCGCCGTTATGGACAATCAGGTTGTGCTAAAGACACGAATCTGGTTTCCCGCCTAGAACCAAATCTCAGGACACTATCCTCACTTTTCGTTATCCACCGGCTGTCAAATTTTGTCTGCCCGGAGGGTCAGGAAGAATTGCTTCCCTGCCCAGTTCGAGCACGGAGTTGCTACCAAACCGTACTAAGGATTCAAGACGGGGTGTCAGGCACATATCTTTGTGTTATGGCCCAGGCAGGCAGGATAGGCCGTTCTCCCCAACTTCCATAACGAGGTGGTTTACTGCGACTGTATTAGAGGTCTATAATACTTTAACTGCCTCGACACAGAGCTTGCAGATATACCAAGTACGAGCGCATGAGGTCTGTGCGATTGCTAACTCACTAGTGCTAGTGTCACCCCCCCCCCCCCCATCGAGCACACATGGAGGGCAGGCTTTTGGAGAACGCAAAACGTCTTTATCAACTACTACCTCAGAGACACCGAATCCATCCAATTCCTCCTGACCCTCCGGGCAGACAACATTTTTGGTTTGCTGACCCAGCCCGAACGACCACAAGGGTCCCTGCGCATAGTCAATAAGTCAGTCTCTGCATTTTTTTCGGACAGATTTCTCTACCATCAGCACTCCCTGGAAGCTCCCAGGTACCGCTTTTCGGCCTATGCCCTCATGCAAAACTGTTTCGGTCTTTACTTCGAAAGCTTACTACCCACAGAATTGGGTTGGGATCTAGCTTTCT